TTCGCGGCTTGACCGGAATTATAAAATTAAAAGGGAATATACCTGCATTCATCAATCGCATGACACCTGAATAACGTATACAAACACTAAACACAGATAAATAGATTAGCCTAATCTAAATCTCACGACATGAAAAGCTGAACATAGGTATAATTCTCTGAACATAATCAGTATAAAACGTAACGCTGAGCGAAACGTAGTTTAGGTTATTAATAAAAGTAACGAAAACTGAGAAATATTACAAGGTGAACATGATAATTCTGTCATTAAATGAAAATAATGTAAAATTAAATTAAATGCAGATAATACGAAAAGTTACTTGTACTTAGAAAACATTTACGATAGTATACATTAATAACTGCTTAAATGTACAAGGATAATATATCGTTTGGAGAATTAATTTTTTTTTCTATAACAGCGATAGTAAAAAATCTACTCAAAATAATTCATTTTAAAGTACAAAAAAAAATCACATTTGACAGCCAATAATAAGTATATCCAAAAATGTAGACAATTCTACCCTGTTGCTAATGGAGCAGAGGAACTAACGTCTGTTACTATGACAACCACATTGTTCATTTCTATAACATTGGTTACATTCGAGGTTTTACGAAATATTCTATATCATTCTTCCGCTTAACTGGTACGTATCCTTTAAGTTGCATTAACTGCTATAAGTTTTTGCAATTTGTTTTTACAAAGTTTTACTGTCAATATTCCTTGATTACAGACAAATGACAATAAAATTGATAGCCATATCTTAGAAATCAAAGTATCATAATCCAATACCTGAAAATAAGCACTTTAAACGAATTAGAAAAATTCTAAATATGTATAGAATGACAATAGTTGTCTTAAAAAATCTCTCTAAATCAGTCTACCTTCAAATAATGGTTTTTCACGTAAGACCTAAATCAACTTATAACACTGTCAGATAATCATAAATTACTTGACCTTGTAACTTACCAAACTACATGAAATAAACGGAATACACAGAGTCGCACCCGACGTTAAACATGATCAACAATATATTAACATAGCTCAAAAGCAATCTGTTAGCTATGGAGGTATGATCATGTTTGACATCTAAGACAATTTATTTATGACGATAATGCATATTAGGAACATAAACTGCATTCACAGTCTTAAATAAAAGCACATGTTCATTCATTTGGTATCTATCAATCCTTGGTTTCTAAGGAGTCCTATTTGCATCGAATGGCCCGGCATGGCCAGGTGGTTGGGGTACTCGACTCGCAATCTGCAGGTCACAGGTTCGAATCCCCGTCACACCAAACATGCTCGCCCTTTCAGCCGTGGGGGCGTTATAATGTGACGGTCAATCCCACTATTCGTTGGTAAAAGAGTAGCCCAAGAGTTGGCGGTGGGTGGTGATAACTAGCTGCCTTCCCTCTAGTCTTACACTGCTAAATTAGAGACGACTAGCGCAGATAGCCCTCGTGCAGCTTTGCGCGAAATTCAAAACAAACAATTTTCATCGAAAAGCTGAAATTCCTTGTGTTTCAAAAATATCCACATGGTATTCAGTCTTTATCTTCATACAGTGAGAATGTATATATCACTTGAATTACACATAGTTAATTTTCTGTAACTAGTGAGAGGTAGATAACTTATCGGGTTATAAAAATGACAATTAATACCGTTATTTGTTTCAGAGATCCAGATAAAACCCCTGTGGGAGTAAATGGTGTTGGCTAGATGCCTTCCCTCCTTTCAGTAGTTTAAAATTAGTAAAACTTATTCCTAAAACTTAGGGGTATCTGACCTATTCTATTAGGTCGTATGCGGTTCAGGTTGACAATTATAATTTCCTTCTGCAGCTTTCTCAAATTGTATTCAATGAAGGAGCACCCATATTAGAGTATCTAATATTGATAAAAAAACGTTTTAAATAATAATTTTCATTGAATTAAAACAACAAAGCCAACAAATTCATAACTATTATTTATTTTATTAACCTTTCTAACAAGAGATCATTACTCAGCTAGCTCTATAATACTAACTATGAAATATTGCTGTTCATGCAATATGTATTTACAATGCCCAGTTGCTACATATGCAGGAGAAAAACATGAAATTAAAACTGAGCCTTTACTAAAAGCATAAATGAATCTATAAACTGATCCGCTTATCCAATGTCTCCTTCCAAACATTAACAGCACTTTCTGAAATAGAACAATATGTAGTAAGTAGATAAGTTAGCTAGCAAAACAGTTAACCTCCTCTACAGCTACAGTGGACCAAGAGACCACGCTTTGTATATAGTGAAGTCAGTTGTCAATTATGGCTTGTCAATCAACTTCAAATTATAATATTATGTTTTGTATGATTTTGAGATATTCATCAACTTAGGATTTTCATAATTCTAAGGTTCTCACAATCTCATGGATTCCACTCGTCTAGATATCCTGGAAGTGACTTATATTCTAAACGCAATAAAATACACATGTAATATTTCCGAGATACCTGCAGATGACATAAAAAGTGGAAGAAAGTTTTTCCCTGTGATCACTATCAGCCTGGTTACTAAGAGACAACTAAATAAGAGACCTTATGTACATCATCTTAACTAGTACTCCCTTTGTTATGTTGGAAGATTTGCTACTTAATAATCTTCCACTCTCTTTCTTAATTTTTGTTACATATTTTGTAATTCAGTGCCGACACAGCTCAGTCCTCTAAGCCTATAAAGTACCTTATAACATGAACTGAGAACAGAAAGTTTCGTCAAAATTCAATCCATTCATTGATCTCATGGCACGACATATTCAACAATGTTTGGTCTTGGCATAAGAATAGATTTGGTTTCATCTCATCTAGATGAAAACAAATTCTACTGTTGTCGACTACTGTCGAGATTCAGTGTGAAATCTTGACCATTATTCCAGACTATCCTCCCTCAAAATATACGATGAATTCTACTTCACATCGTTTCCTCTAGAGCTACTTCAGATGTTTTTATTTTATACTGACTATTCTCTTCTTGTACCTGTGATGCACAAAGAGAACAAGCTCTAGGAACTCTCAGATAACAGTCTGACTAAATCACGATGCTTAATGATGTTTATGTTTGAGAAATGCTTAATCTACTCTAAGCCCCGCAAGATGTAGATGTCTTGTGAAGCTGTGCGGCTGGATAATCCATTGTAACGATGGTTACCCCAAAATCACCAGGAGTTACTCTCTACAAAAGTCCATGCTCGCTTGCGGCAGTTCACCCACAACATTTTCCTAGTTTTTTTCTGTTTGAGGAGGAAATGATTCGCATGGATACTTTACTCAATTACTAGACTACTATTTTCATGTCAATAAAACGTTTATTCGAGTCTGTGTAAGTCTTGAATGGATAATAGTATAGTGTTTTTTCTAAAAATAAAATAAATTCTCTACTGTTAATATTCATACATTCTTGACAATATTTATCCTCAATGTAAGAAATAAAGGGATAAGCTACATTTATTACTTATTTATTAGATTTGACTTTGATATCATAGATGAAACAATATTTAGAATATATGTTAAGTCGATCTAAGTTGCATGTATGGATTTAAAGTAAAGACACATAGTTAGTTATACAGAGAATATTGTTCTTCATCAACTGAAAAACACATTCTCTTTTTAACTTCCTTTTCTAATTTATAAACAAAGGGTAAGGAAAGTTACAAAAAACATTAGATTAATTCGAAAATAAATAAAATTAATTCCATGTTTATTTCCAGTAAAATTAATAAATAGCCAGTTCTTTGATTTTGAATTAATCATCATTGTTTGGAAAAATATTTTTTTTAGAAATGCAAATTAAAATATTTAAGCGTAGAAGCTTATTTGAAATATAGCCAAAGTGTGGTACTTTATTAAACTTTTTCTTATTCTATTCATAAATCCTGAATTGAATTAATCATTACAGAGATCCAGAGATTAAATAAAGAATTTGTTATTGTTTCTTGCAGTTCGTTTACTACATCATAGGATTCCGAACCTTTCAGGTATTCTAGGTATAAGATAATCAATGTAGTAATTAGTCAACAGTATACATAGAATAGTATAGCTATCGGCCACTCATACAGACACTCTCTACCTACATGCAATATAACATTTTCAACGACAGTTTTGATAAAAATCAGTTGATATTAATGCACAGTATCTAAATAAAACATAATTAACGTATGTTGATTAATAATACAGCCGCAGGTATATATAAAGTACGTCTTATTTTATGATTTTAACAAGGTCTTGTGTGTATTTGATTACAAGAAATAAGGTTCGCCTTTTTCTTTGTTTAGAAAGATCTATTGAATCCAAAATCTCATTATTTATTGAATTTATTGGAACACTCGTGAATAAATTGTATTTTGATTATTATTATAGTGATGATGCAGCTTATTGGCTTAAGAGCAGCATTAATTGTGATTAGTAAAAAATATGAGAAAGCTATTTATGAATGAAAGTTTGTAACTGTTTATGACTACATCAAGACTGTATAAATTAGCATGTCAACTTGTTCTGGAGAAAATTATGTGGTAATTTAACAGAAGTGATTAACCTTCCTTGTACTAATTCTAGTGAACTGTAATCTTTTCATAACCTATAAAATTAATATTATGAAATAAGTTAGTTATTCGATATTCCTTTTTATTGTAAATGTTAAATATTTAGAAAGTAGAAATGCAGTGTTTTAAATTTCTTTTTTTTTTAGAAACTTTGGTAATATGTTCATAACTTAATGTATGGGAAACAAATAGATATGATAAACATTATTAAGTTACATTTTTTGTACAAAAGAAATTAAGGAATTGTTATACAATCATTTAGCCTTTTGTGTTGTTGTTTTGGGCAAATATTTAAATTATATTCTATCTTTTGCGATGTAATTTAATTATATATATGTACATATACATATTAAAATGAATGAAGTAGAACTGAAATATTTCCCAGATACTAATTATTATAGCAGCCATGTTCCTTAACTGTACCTCCACGTGGTTCGAGAGGATCAGTATGATGATAATTCTTCTCAACTGCATTACGTTAGGCATGTACCAGCCATGTGTAGACGAGGCGTGTACTTCCAGTCGTTGTAAGACACTTCAGTTATTTGATCACTTAATTTTTGTGTTTTTTGCCGTTGAAATGATCATCAAGATTGTGGCTATGGGTCTTGTAGGTAAGACCACTTACTTGGCAGAAACTTGGAACAGACTGGATATGTTCATTGTTATAGCAGGGTATGTATACAATGAATTTTGAAGAGTACATTTAATTCTTTAAAATAAATTTACGGTTTGAACGTATTTTGAAAACTGAATGGTTCATAACAAAAATTCTGTACTAGTCTTTAAAAAATAAACAAGACTTTTATAAAAACCTTGACTGATTTAGTCTGATCTATACCTTTTTTTTTCTAAATAAATTATTTTCCTATTTTATTACAAACTTGAAGTGTAAATTTTCAATAAATTTTCCAGTTGATCCGAAGAAGAAATTTCTGTTTTTATTTGTTTGTTCCTAATTTCTAACTTGACTTAATTACTGAACTTACGTTTATAATTTCGTTTATCCTTTATTTTGGCAAATTTATTACTAGCGTTTTCTTATGAAATTTATTATATTTTAATACTTGATATTTAGATGCTTAAATAGGTTAATGTGTTTTAAACATTAAAGTTACTTAATTGTTTAAAAAATATATTTTAGAATGAGCGGAAACCACAAGAGTTCCAACACATCTTTACATATTTGGCAAGGTTTTGACTCTTTTAAAATTTCATATTTCGTTTATCTTTCAAATATGAGAATCTGAAATTTTCAATTAGCTATTTGAAGTTTGTTGGAAATTAAACTATTTTTGGTATATTTTATATAAGATAAAAATATAATAATTGTTTACCATAGGGACTACTTTAAATACTAAACTTCTTAAGTTACCAAGAGTTGGCTTCATTTTATATATCAATGATTATTTTTTACTTAATTGATTAATTTTACCTTTAACTACAGGACTCTCGAATACTGTTTGGATGTTGGGAGTATTAATCTCTCGGCTATCAGGACCATTCGTGTCCTTCGCCCACTTCGAGCTATCAACAGAATACCTAGTAAGTCACAAATAATGACATTCTATGACTGACTTTCTTGTTTCGTCATAAATCCTATCTTAATTACCCTTTGTTTTCACGATTTTCTTTAAATGTTGTTTGTTTCAAAAAATTACTAAGATCGCTTTACAATAGCGTAAAATAATTTACAACTTATTAATAAATCATTCACAGAAAAAAAAATCGTGAGAGATTTTAAGTTTTCTAGCTTATTATTAACTTTCAGAAAGTAGCAATCTTAAATGTCGGTTCTAGTTTATCAATAACTCTTACTAAGCAGCCAACTTAAGTGATTTACTTTAATCTATACTTTTTTTCTAAATAAATTATTTTCCTATCTTATTGCTTTGTTTGT